TCACATAAGAAATATTCTCACCATTATATTCTGATGTTCCTGAAAGGAACACCGACAAATAATCCTTGCAAATGCTAATATGCTAATTATCAATAAATTGCACGTGTTTTTTACCAAACATGATTAAATCTTGATTGGTTGCCATTCTTAGAATAGCTCAGGTAGAGAAAAATTTTTGACGATTTAACTTCGTCGTGTAAACGCAAGAATGTCACAGTCACCTTTCGTTCTCGGCATATACCCGGAAACATGGAACGAAAACTTGCCATATCGGCTTCACAGTGGCATTTCAGGTTTTTTTTTCTTTGATCACAAGCATTAGGTAGTGTGTATGTGTCAACAACTTCAGCTTTCCGCTTCAATGCTTTTCAGACTGTGTCCCTAGGAACGTAGAACCTGTTGGCATTTCCTTTCTCGCACATGCACGTCGAAAATTACATAATCGTAACTTTGATGAAGACGAGCGCATTCAAGCGGAAGCTGCTGTGGAACAAGGAGAGATAATAGATTTAGAAGAGGAGGAGGAAGAAACCCTCGAATTACTGTCACAGGACCCCAAGGACTGGAAGGTATGTTTGACATCGTTGCGTCAATTTTTTTCGCCATCTCCTCCGGTATAATTACCGTATTTAAATCATTTTACTGTACGCTAGGAACAAGACCATTATGCAGTTTTGGGTCTTTCCAAATATAGGTGGAGAGCTACAGATGAGCAGATCAAGCAAGCGCGTATGTAGTTGAAGTTATACATAAATGCTAATGGAAATGTCATTTGAATACTCGATATATTATGGAATTTGTGGCACTTCAGATAGAAGGAAAGTTCTCAAACATCACCCTGATAAGAAAGCATCTAATGGAAATACGAATGATGATGCCTTTTTCAAATGCATTCAGAAAGGTACGCAAACATTCCTATTGTATGTCGCGCAATTTATTATTTACTATCGTGTCGCGCAGCTTATTTGATAATTATGTTTTCTCAGCAAATGAGATTCTCTCCGATCCCGTTAAACGACGGCAATTTGATTCCGTAGACCAAGCATTTGATGATACACCGCCTAGTATCAAAGCTAAGGGTGACTTCTTTGAAATTTACGGCCCAGTATTTGAAAGTGAAGCAAGGTACGTGTTGTATCGTTTCGCTTTGCATTGATTCAGACGATGACCTCTTAACTTGAACCATAGATTTTCAAATAAAACACCCGTCCCAATGTTGGGGAATATAAACACCACGAAACAAGAAGTAGAGTTGTTTTACGATTTTTGGTAATCATATAAACAAGCAATAAGTTTTTATCTTTTTTTTTTTTTTTATCTATTAATGATCAATTGACCTTTAACAGGTACAATTTTGACTCTTGGCGTTCGTTTGAATATCTAGACAAAGAAGACTGCGATAGCACGGACAAGTATGCGTCACGTTCATACGAGCATTGCGCAATCATAAGCGATAATTTGTTATTAGATTTTTAATTATATATACATTTCTTTTACACGTACTCTAAAGCCGCGACGATAAACGGTATCTCGAACGAAAGAACAAGGCCGAGAGAGCTAGGCGTAAAAAGGAGGATACGTTGCGACTGAGAAAGATTATTGGTAATCTTTATTATTGAATTTATCTGGATTATTTGTGTTACTGAACTCATAAACATAATTTTAATGCCGAGCAGATC